TCCACTTTACAGCCCTGATTTAACCCCATCCAACTTCTCTTTGTTTCCAAACTTTAAAAATTCATTGAAAGGTACCAATTTCCCATTGGTTGAAGATGTAAAGAGCTGCTCTGACATGGTTCAGATCATATGACTCTCATTTTAACTCACATGGACTTAAAGGCTGGTATCTATGCATCAATAGACTGACCTTAATGGAGCATATGTTGAAAAATAAACCTCATAACTGAAACTGTTTTTTTATATATGTATATGTATATGTATGTGTATGTGTATGTGAGTGTTGCGTGTGCGTATGTGTGTGTACACAGGTACGTGCGTGCATGTGTGTGCACATGTGTGTCTGTGTGTATGTATATAAGTATGTATGTATGTGTGCGTGTAAGCATGGGTATATGTGTATATATGTATATGTATATATGTATGTGATTGTTTTTTCAGGATGTGTTTGTTTTCAATAAAGCCAAACAAGAGTATAGGAAGAGTCTAGCAAAAGAGGAGGAAAAGTGAGGCCTGCTCTGAAAGCCAGTAAGCAAGGAGGATCGGTAACCTTGATTATTTGGTGTATCGCCCCTGAGTGCTTTTGCCTCACTATAGCTCTGTCTTGCAGTCAATCTAGTGTCTCAAAGTTTTTGTATGAAAAAATCTGAGTTACCTTAATGGTTCTCTCATGTTTTAGTTTGAAAAGCTAACCCATAATGCCCAATGTAAGGCATAGGATATCAAGCTCATGTCCCTCACATTACCTCACAGACATAGGATTAAATGTACTACTTCCTTCCTCCCCCAAATGCCATTGTAAAACAGAGGTGCAGCTCATACACCAGCAGATGAGGTCATGTATATATTGCTAGGTACTGCAAGTTCTGAATTTCAAACATTATTCAGTGTGAAGAATAAATAATTCTTCACTCTATATGGGAGACAATTCTTGAACTACTTCACTTTACATGGGAGACAATTCTTGAACAAATTTACTCCATACCAGAGCCAATTCTTGAACAAATGATCTTTGTATAATAACTACTTAAAATTAATTGTCTCTAAGGTCAATTCTGTTTTGAGATGCAGCCTCTAAAACAACTTTAAGTTAACTTGTTTCCTAGAATAATTTGTAATACAAGGGCAATGAATTTGTACTTTTATACTATCAGATGACACTGCAACGGAAAAAATATACATCACTCAAATAGAGAAAGAAGTAAGTCTCACCAGAAAACAACAAAACAAAAAGAAGCTTCTTTTCTAAAAGAAAGAAGCTAACATACACATGAGTCTGAGACCATCCAAACGAACAACAAAAAGTGCACACAAACCATTACAAAAATGCAAAGGAAGAACAAGGCAGAACAATTGTCAATGAAAAGGAACAAGAGAAAATCATGGGGTTATATGGGAGTGCAAGAAATAATGTGGCACAATGAGTTAAAATCAAGATGTAATGGGAGGGGCAGTGGGCATGTATGGAAATTGTCATCTCTCTTGCACTTACCATGGCCTGCTGGCTTGCACCTGGAGAAGCCTCATGGTTACTGGGTTCAGGTGAGTTGCTGAGCTGCCCTGTTGTTTCCCAGGCTTGGCCTCCACTTTGCTGTAGGCATGGAGAAACATTGGGTTCAGTGGGGTAAATAAGAATAGTGTTGTATGATAGTGTCTACAAATTGTATATATAAGGATGTATGTATATATAGGAATATATGTATTTCATTTGAGGGGAGACAAGATTCATATAGTCTGTCATGGGTATATGCTTGGATACAAGGCAATACAATGAAAATGTAAAATAATTTAAATAAAATGTAAACCTAAATGAAAAGAAAATTCTTTGGGAAATCAGGAAGAAATGACCATTGTTTGTTAATCCTTTATAAATATTCCTCACAGCAAATGTATTGAAAAAGGTAAGAAAATACACCTATACATGACAACTCAAACCCTCACCACTGCATAGGAGCCAACACGAAAGAGGCCCAGTGGCAAGACAGGCGTCGAATGCGTCAATCCACTGCTGGAGACCACAGGATGGAGCCCAGGAGGGGGAGGGTGAAGCCCTGTCACCTTGCGGTACATGGTCTCCTTACCCGCCTCCTCGCCACCTTCCTGATCCTCCCAGCTATTCTCATCTTCCTCAAGTGGGTCATCGGGTCCAAGCGGCACTGTTACTGGTTCATCTTTGATCTCTTCCTTGATTTCCGTCTGTGGGTTTTATGGGGGGGAAAAGAGAAATAATCTTTTAGGGCAATAGAAAAGATTAGGTGTGTGAAAAGAATTCATATGTTATATATGTGGTATTATGCATAAACTTTTAATAATGATGGAGAAATGTTCTGATTGTTTGAAATATAAAAATGCCAGGACTCATCAAGAAAATTAATCTATTACTTTTATAATTACCAAACCTCTTATAAAAAATAAAATATGGAAAACACAGAACTACCAAATCCCATCTCCCAAATGGCACTCCACCCTAGAGGGGTTCTCACCTGCAGAAACTGTCCAG